AAAACTTGTCAAATTACGTAAATGTGGTTATTCATAATTATTTTGGCTCAATCCTAGACAACAGAATTTTTTAAAATTGTCAAAATAATTGAGTATACAAAGGGAAATCATTTGGGGGTCACGGATCCAAAGGGGTTAGACTTAAATTGAAGAGACCAGGCGCAGTCCAGTGAGCTCCATATATATCTGGAGTAGGAACTTGGTTGCTCAAAGTGAAGTCAGTTTCGTGTTAACTGCGCATACAAAAACAATAGAAAGGGACTGGAACTGACGTCCAACAGCTCCTTCAATTTCCGCCATCTTGGCAAGGAGTGTGTTGAAATTTCGTATTTTGACTTCGATTTAAAGAATAATATTGTGATTTTATGGACTGAAAACTTGATTAATGATACGGTCCATTAGAGAAAACTGGAATTAGCTGGGGGAAATGGTATAAAAACTGTTTACGACGTTCAGAGCTATTGGACGTCAATGGCCACCATCTTGGCTTCACTTTTCTCATTGACCGAATGACTGAAGTTCTTACTCCAGATATATATATATATATAGAGAGCTCACTGGCGCAGTCAGGTTAGTTTAGCCCGCGTCTCAACAAAACTTCATATATTTTGCCTGCCCGCAAGCTCAATTTCTCAACCAATCCGGATCTTCGTCAGTGCACATACTGTACAGGGTGTATAAAAAAACCTGCACAGTTCGAAAATGTTTGCTAAACTGCATATTTGTGAAAATTTTATGCATGCAGGGGTAGTTTGGGGTTTGCTAGTATCTTTATCACTAAAATTATTCTGAAAAGTAAATTTTCGAGTGTAGGAGGGTCGTTTCTAAAGCCCGGATCAAACAAGACGCAAGTCGTCGCAAATTTTAACTTCTGAGACATGAAAAAGAGGAATGAGTTGTTTAAAACACATGAATTGTGGAAACAAATCGAACTACAGTAAATTTTATAAAAATATCTAACGTCAAAAACTCATGTTTATCTGACTGTATGTTACAAACAAATCACTTTAATCTCTTTCCATATGACACCTTATCAAATTATTCATTCCCTTTTTTCCATATCTTAGAAACTATCAGTGCCTTTTTTAAGGAATTTTCACTGGGGGGGCAAAACAGGAAAAAAAGGCAGAACAAAAAATATGAGCCGTCGAGGTTTGGCGAACGCGCGAGTCTGACGAGAGATTTTGTAAAACTTTAATTTATTAACTTCAGCTATATTTTACTTTAAACAATAACTTCAACTCTTTATAGCTATAATCGTACAGCTATAACCAGTGGCGTAGCCAAACCTTAGGAGGGTCCGGGGTCCGGAAAATTTTGAAATCTAGGGTCCCTGAATTGCGATTTCATGCATTTTGGGGGTGAAATCTAGCTTCCGAAGATTATAAAGTAAGCTACATCGAAGACATGAAATTTTCCAGATGTTTCTACGCGGAATGAAATAATTTGGAAAAGTCACCTTGAAAAATAGGAGGAGGGGTCAGTGTCACCTTATTTCCTCTGTGATGCTGGGGATCCCAATGTGATTTTGATCAGAAATGTTGCATTAAGTAATGCTACCCTTACAAAAATTTCACATAACATTTCATATATGAAAATTTCATATATGAAATCGTTATATGGAATTGAAACAAATTTCATATATGAAATATTTCATATATGAAATATTTCATATATGAAATATTTCATATATGAAATATTTCATATATGAAATATTTCATATATGAAATTTTCATATATGAAATTGTTTCAATTCCATATAAAGATTTCATATATGCAATATTTCATATATGAAATTTTCATATATGAAATTGTTTCAATTCCACATAAAGATTTCATATATGAAATATTTCCTATATGAAATTTTCATATATGAAATTGTTTCAATTCCACATATAAAGATTTCATATATGAAATATTTCATATATGAAATTTTCATATATGAAACTGTTTCAATTCCACATAAAGATTTCATATATCAAATATTTCATATATGAAATTCCACATTAAGACTTCATGTATGAAATTCTCACATGTTTCAAATGTTATGCAAATATTAAGTTTTATGCATTGAAATTAAGCGAGTCAGGGGAAGTTTATGCAATCCCATTTACCCGAGATTAAACAAATCGAGCAATGGCTTTGAGGTATTGAAATAAGTCTTTATCAAACCAGACAAGCACATGCTAACAACAGACTAAATATAGATCAATGCAAAAAAACATATTCGCACGAATTAGTGCTCAACAATTACATTTTGCCCATTTGATATTTCTACAGAACAAAATCAAAAGCCACCTGGATCATGTTATTTTTCCGAATCATTAACAAATGACTTATTTCAATATCTCAAAATCATTGCACGCTCGTTTAATCTTGTGTAAGCGGGATCATATGAACTGCCCCTTAGAAAAATCTACCTAAATAAGAAAGTTACGTGCTATGCAGGTTTGACATACCACATCAGACACTAGTTTATTCGAAATATACAAATTACAAAATAATAAAAACTTAATTACAATATACATAGGCTACAGTATATTTACTCTCGGTTACAAAAAATATCCCAAATTTTGTATGATTTTGAGGAAATTATCCATTTGGGACATTTTTTGATACACCCTGTATATGCATTACTCAACTAAAAGCATGCAGAAATAAAAAATCAGGGGTGGGTTACCAGTAACACCATGCAGGGACAAGACCAAAGATTAAAATTAAGAAATGCATATAATATCATTACTAAAATATTAAAACAAATACTGCATGTTTGTGTTCTCTTAACAGTTCTCCTGCTTCTCCAGTTCACATTGAATCTTTTTCTTGCATTCTTAGTTAATTTCGAAAAATTCTTGGGCCTATCCACCTCAGTTAAGGCATTTGCTGTCAGCATGGACTAATAAAAGAAATTATATGGTTTATAAATGGTTTAGAAATATATATATATGGTTTAGAAATATATAAATGAAATATATAAATGGTTTAGAAATTATATGGTTTATATTATATGGTTTATACAGTAAAATTAATATACATTGTGAGATCTGAATTTTCTTCTTGTCAGTGACTGCAGTCAAGCCTGTACTGTTTCAGTCAGTCACTGTCCACATGTCATACGACTAAATCGTTTGACAGAGTAAAATAATACTTAAAGCAGGGCGCATTGGCACAATGCAACTGAATGGATTAACTAGATTATTAGACATATGGCCAGATAGGCCAGTTAAGTTACTGTACCTATTAAATGCCAGAGCTCTCCCCTTGACGAGTAAATTGTCTGGCAGTAGACAGAGTAAAATAATAAAGCAAGGCACATTGGTGCAATGCAACTCAATGGATTAACTAGACACATGGGCAGATAGGCCAGTTAATCCATTAAGCACCAGAGCTCTGCCCTTGATGAGTAAATCATCTGGCGTTAGACAGAGTAAAATAATAAAGCAGGGCACATCAGGGCGCAATGTGTTAACTTATATCACAAAGAAAAATATCAGTAAACTTACATGCTTGCCTGTCTTGTTTTGGTGGGTCTGCCGGTCTCCTTGGTTGCCTGTCTTGTTTTGGTAGGTCTGTCAGTCTCCCAGTGCATGTGGAAGGGAAGCCATTACACATCTGAGGGTTAACTATAAAAGGGTACAAATGGTGCATATATTAAATAAGTATGTTGAATACGAATATACTGTACAGTCATACCAACACTCTCCCCTTAACAATAAAGTCGTTCGGCATTTCAAGACAATGAAACATAACAAATAACTAGGGATGCAGTGGATATCATATCTGGCCAGATATTGAGATTTTACTGGCACGACCCTGTCAGTTTATACTATAATAATTAGTCAGTATAGTCTTTTAAATATAAAATGCTTGAAGAATTAAGTTCAAGAAACTTGAAGAAGGAATATCTTCAAAGAACTGCCAACATTTCACATGTTGTCTTTTATTCTCCTGTAACATAACGGTTGTAAATGTAGTTTCAAATCGAGTTGCAAATCTAGGGTTAAAAAAATGTCAAATCTACTCTTTTGAATTTTAATACAGTGTAGGCCAGTTCCAATTACAATTCACTATGACATAAATTACGTGTATGAAAAAACTTTAATTGTCATATGTGAAATGTATAATTTCATAACATGTGAAATATATGATTTGATTTTCATATATGAAAATTCACATATGAAATTACCAATATTAACATATGAAATGGATTTCATATATGAAATTTCTTTTTTCATATGTAAATTGTATATAACTTCATATATAACTTGATTTTCATATATGAAAATTCTTATATGAAATTAGCTACCAAATTTCACATGTGAAATTTAGTTTTCCATATGTGAAAAAATTTAGTTTTCCATATGTGAAAATTCTTATATGAAATTACCAACTTTCACATGGGAAATGGATTTCATATATGAAATTTCTTTTTTGATATGTGAATTATATACTGTTCATATATGACTTGATTTTCATAATCTGAAAATTCTTATATGAAATTACCAAATTTCACATGTGAAATGGATTTCATATATAAAATTTATTTTTTCATATGTGAATTGTATAACTTCATATATATGACTTGATTTTCATATATGAAAATTCTTATATGAAATTACCAAATTTCAGTGTGAAATGGATTTCATATATGAAATTTAGTTTTTCATATGTGAATTGTATAACTTCATATATTACTTGATTTTCATATAAGAAAATTCTTATATGAAATTACCAAATTTCACATGTGAAATGGATTTCATATATGAAATTTAGTTTTTCATATATGAAATTAAAATTTCATATATGACCTGCTTTTCATATATGGAAATTTAATATGTGAAAAAGAGAATTTCACATATGAAACTGAAATTTCATATATGAAATTACCTTTTCACATGTGAAATTCTAATTTCATATATGAAAATCTTCATTTCATATATGAAATTCCAATTTCATATATGAATTTTAATGTGAAATTTTTGTAAGGGTAGGTTCTAAGAGATCGACACCATTTCCGCATTCTCACAAGTGTGTTGCTTTTTCATACGATACAGAATAAGTCTGAGAAGAAATATTCATGCTATGATGATGCATACATGTATTTAACAGTTAAAAATCTAAACTAAATCAATACTTCTTGGAACCATATCTACAACTGCTTTAACGAGATTTCATAAATCAAGTTCCTCCAGTGTATCGTCTTTTTCCTCAGTCCAGACGTACTTAATCAGTTTCAGCTTTGAGCATGTAACGTGTACCCCACCCACCCACCCCAATTTCTCTACGGATTTAGCCTTTCTGAGAGAATGGTTTTTGTGGCGATTGGGGAGGGGGGCTCTTAATATAACTTGATATTTTTAAGAAAAAAAATTTGCAATAAAACCTCCCAAAACAAAACACAACGCCTCTGCGGAGGAAGTGCTAGGAAATAGTCGCAAGGCTTGGAAAGGCTAGCATTTTATCGCATTGTTTGCATGAAATCTATCGCTATTATGAAATACTCGGTGAAGAACAATATGAATTATACACAACTACACAAGATGGCTGTGGAGGGGCTATGGAAGGGCATTATCTCATTATCAAGTAAATCAAATGAAATTCTGACAGCAATGAATCATGAGCAATTCTGCTTCGCACTTCGGGGGCAGAAATGGCTTTACTGGGGGAATAACCACCGGGCAGCCCCAGATATATAGTTAAAAAAGGCACTGTTTCCTCGACACAGTAACTGTTTTAAAATGCGCTCGCCCTTTAGCGTTATTCGTGAAAATTTTTGTCAGAAAAGTTAATTAAGTAAACGTGCTTCCTTTGCACCTACACGATGATGCCCAAATATACAAGGCCCGGTTTAAAATAGACGGCGCACTATTCATGCGCCGAACCTAATACAACGATTAGGTCAGTGACAGAAGAGAGCGGCGTTTTAACCAATTAAGTTCGGCAAGTTTCTATTGGGCACAAGATACGGCACAAAATGTGATATTATGAGATAAAGGTTCGACATCAACCTAGTACCCAGGGTCTTTCCAATACGTGCCTCGCTGGAGGAAAGACCCTGGTCCAGGCTGGTCACGTGTCTCCCTTACATAAGGATCCCCACCCGATATCAATTCGATAAAGTTCAGTGTGTGTGTATTTTACCAAATGCATTTATCATTTATCATTTTATCAAAATCGACCACACAGTACTTTACGTGTTCACGTAGCGGTTATTTTATAATCGCTCACAAATATCAATTAATATCCAATCATGATTCTGGTTAAACAAATGTTCCGCCGAATACAACACTCAACAGCAATGCCCTGAAGATTCTGCCGTTTCTTGTTGATATATAGAACTAAACCGGAGACTGTACGTGTCGTCGAGTGAGCTTCGAGAATCTATCGTCCATTATTTTAAGTGTTTAATTTCAAACGTCCAGCCAGGCCTTATTAACAACTTCGTCCCGTACAATATCCGTTATGACGTATTTTATGAAAAATACATGCCAATCAAAACTTCGTTTCATGGTAGTCCTTTGTGTTGCTTTATTCACACTCATTGTATTGTTTAGAACTTGAACGCCACATTTCCCCCCCCCCCCCCCCCCCCCAATAAGTCCCAATTGTTATCTCCCAAAATCTGGGAGACACGTGACCAGCCTGGCCAGGGTCTTTCCTCCAGCGAGGCGAGTAGTGGAAAGAGGCTAGGTACGAGGTTGGTTCGACATGGGTTTAGCCGCCGTGCTTTTCATGCGCCGAACAATTATTCGCCGAAGGCGAGGTGATTATCGGGGAATATTCGCCGAGACGAAGTCGAGGTGAATATTTCCCGATAATCAACGAGCCTGAGGCGAATAATTGTTTTAGTATTTTTACACAAGTCTTTTGTGTTTCTTGGGACTGAATTTATTTTAATTTCGCTTATTTCTTTATCAGTAACTTCCACAAAACGGCTAGCCGCCATTTTGAAAATTTCGGTTTTGTTATATTAACCTACAGTATAGGTGAATATAACAGCTTAATACGTCGAATTTGACCAATCAACTTGTAGGATTTGTTATATTCACTTGTGCAAAAATACTAATATGATATATTAGCAATTTAGCACTGAAATTTCTGATATAGTGTACTTGTATTTTTGACACGGTGCAATTAATTCCGACGTCTAAATCAGTTGTCGAACTTGTGCTACAATTTGAATAGGTTCGGCCCATGAAAAGTCGTCTAAACTGGGTCTCAGTCTTCCGAGGACCAATTATTTAGAGCACTATACAAGGTAAAAACTCGTAAAGGTGAAAACACCTGAAGACTATAAACCTTAACGTAATGCAGCTTGAAAAATAACTTGCATAAGTACTACTTCGAATAAATATATCCCAAACACAAATAAACTTGTATGTACCTCGTTTTAAAACAGTAGCGATTGATACACCAGGTGGAAAGCGTAATTTAAAAATGAAAGTTAAAGCCCATTAAAGTGTGATATTCACACCACGTTGTTGTCTCAAGAAATGGCCGGGTGTCTCAATAGTTTTTCGTCTACAACAAGTGTACGTCTCGGGATGTTGATGTGTTCAGTTCAACTTCACACAGTCAACTGATCAAATATCACTTCGTTCGCCTATTTTATGGTTAGAAGACTGCCTTTCATCCGTTCTGATATCTATAATTTCACCTCGGCGACAATGTGGACAGCTGGTGATTACATGCGTGAAATCTCCTTTGGACACTTGAAAATCACAGATCATACAGCGAGACCTTTTACAATTCGGATAAAAATCTGTCCATGTGCATACAGGGCATATACTCAAATGGGAGATGTATATATCTTTGTTACAACTGTTACAAGTTGCGTCAGCATCAGATTGTGTATCCTGACGGGACCACTTGTGGGCTAACACAGTAAGGACATGTCCATTTACGATTAGGCTTTTATCAATTTCCAATTCTGCAAGACCTTTTATAAAAATGCTCAATCAAGTTGGTTCGGGAATATCTGGATGATAAGGCGTCACACAATATTTCAGAAGGTCTACAATGTCAGTTCCTCATATATTATGTCCTCTGTAAACGATTTCTCCTTTTCCATTCCAAGTCAAAATCCCCGTAGACGTTAAAATAGAATAAAGGTTTTCTTCGGCTTCGTGTTCATCATCAACGTCAAGATATTTACAGTCGTGCCAATAGAAGCGTTGCGAAAAATGTTGACCAGTTCATTTCCTAACTCCGAGAAGTTCCTCTGAACAATTCCTCAACAATTTTGATAAGTTCCTTAAAAAAATCCTAACTTCCTGTTTCATTGACCAATCAGATTGCTCAAAAATAAAATATAGAATTTGACTGGTCAATGAAACAGGACGTTAGGAACTTTTGAAAGAAATTTTCAAAATTTTAAGGAATTGTTCAGAGGTGTTCCTTCAAGTTAGGAAATGAACTGGTCAACATTTTTCGGAACGCTTCTATTGGCACGACTGTAAGAATGTCTTCAAGTCTCCACTGTTCAGGAGATGATCGTTCGTCGCTATCCATGATTGGAATGAGGAGATCTAGATGCCCTTAATGCTGATTATTTTATACTAATTCCGCAAAGCCTTCTAAAAGTGGTCCAAGTACCAATTCTAGAACTTCCTTTTCGAGAATTTCCTTTTCGTTCTAAAACTTCTACTTCTGTCCACTAAATCAGCTAGATCTTGTTTTGAAAGGCCTGAGTTTGTCCTTCGTTTCTTTAGAGTATGTGAAATTTTCTATGCAATGACGCAAGCATCAAATTTGCTCAGCTGATGTAGAATTAAGAAGAGCTTGCTGTTGAGTTGG